CAGCCTATGGGACAGAGATGTAGATAGTTCATTATTACCCTTTTTTGTTAGATGAGAGGCCACGTCTCCAAAACCTCAGGCTCTGTTACATTGCCTGGGGACTGCAAGCATCTGGGGGCCATGTGGTCAGGAAGGGGCATGCTCTAGTCAGTTATTAGAAGGCCAGAGAATTATATCTGTGCCATAAGTAAGAACAGGACTATCAGCTTATACACAGTGGCATTTAAATGTTATGACAAAAGTAGAGGCTTTGTGGTAACTGGTAAATTGCGGTGAAGTTCTACTACATTTACAGACCAAATAGATGATGACACTGGTGAGTCTGCTCCTTCACCTGAAGCTGATCCAAGAGAGGTATTTTTCCAAACTCACAGTGGCTATGGGGTGACAAGTCTCTGGCCCCACCTACATCTTACCATGCCTACATTCCCATTACTTTCTCATAAGGAGTTATGAATGGCATTTTGTCACACCCCATAAGACAGACACCATAAGAGTTGCTTCAGTATCTCATAGCAGTGAAACCATACAGGATTGTCTGTTAGTCTGCACCACAAAGATCTGATCTACTAAAAAAATGACATTAAGCTTTAAGTCCCTGAAGTTTCTACTAATCAGACCCTTGACATTAGCAAGAATTCCTACATTTTGCAAATATCCTTCTAGGATAATGCTTCTCCCAAAAATGCAATAAATTACAACTGAAAAATGTGACTCTTTCAAAGCCTTAATGACTTTATCAATAAGGTACTAACATCTTCCAACATGCTAATTAAAATACTTTCTTTTGAGTCCTATCTCTGTGGGGCATCACATGTTTCCGGGCACATCTTCACATCAAAGGTCAAGACCTTTTCAACTTTTACTCAAGTTTTGTCTATTTGCTGAAAAGCAATTCTGGCACAGGCAAGAGTATTCCTCCAGTGGTTTTAGGAGTCGCTTGCCCTCATTTCTAAAAAGGAACCTGAGGGGGCTATGGCTTCATAGATCAGAGTCACCCAAATCCAATGTGCTTCTTTCTCTGAAATGCCCTTTTCTTGAAACAGGTACAGTTACTCATACATATCTTCACACCTTACTTGCTCTGTTGTTGGCTGAGACACCACTTTTCCCTGGCTCAGTAACCAGAGTTGGCCAGGTTCATTCCCACCCCGGCTCTCTCTTGCTACTTGTCCATTCTTCAGAGTGGGCTTCAAATTTTGACCTTGCTAAATGACAAGTGACTATACATTTTTGACTTTCAGGGTTCTCTGAGAATATTAAGTCCATGAATTCCAGAGTTTGTCTGAACTAATGTTTTTGCTTTAATATTCTAGTACTAACACATTTCTTTTAATGATTTTCTTTTAATATCTTCATCTTTGCCCTTAATTAGATTTGTCTACATGTTCATTTGATCTCTCCACATTGAATTTGTGTATGTATGTGTGTGTGTGTGTGTGTGTGTGTGTGTGTGTGTGTCTGTGTGTGTGTAGGAATATATTTTTCCTGTGCATTATCCAAGAAATTCCTGCATATTCCAGACCACTTGGTGATTTAGTATACCTAGCAGAGCACCTGATAGACGAAGGAGGCACAAGACAAATGTCCTCAGTGAAGACTGTCTTTTTTCTCCTGGGGTATTTTTATGTTCCTTTTTTATTAGGGTGTATTTGTCATGCACAATAATTGCACCCATTTTGGGGAGCTAGTACACATTCTTATCACATCTCAATCATTTTACTTCCCCTTCCCCTCCTTATCTTCCTGCTTCCCTCCATCCTCAGAGCTCCTTCTCAGCTATATACAGTGTCTACCTCCAAGACTGTTTTTCATGGCAGTTTGGGTACATCAAGAGTGAGTCTCATATATAACAGATTTCTAGGCAATATATCCAAAATCCTAAACCCCAGTTCTTAGTTTCTGAATTACAAAGGAAACTGTAATCACCCACCAATTTTTTGTTTGTTTGGTTGGTTTTTTTGGCAAGGCAGGCACTTATACCACTGAGCTAAATCTGTGGCCCCCACCAATATGTTTTAGAGAAACACTTTTTAATATCTTCCCTCTGCACATGTGAGTCAATGATAAAACTATTATCCAAATGGTTCAGACCTCTATTTTATATACCCAAATGAATCCTGTTAACTAACAGTCACTACTATACTGAACACAGTGATTAAGTTGGATTTTTGTTGTTGAAGTAATAGAAATTGAACAGTCTAACTAAAGGAAAATAAGGGGTGAGTTCATGGCAGCAAACAGCTCAGAAAACTGCAAGAAGAGCTCACAGAGCTAAAGGTGGGGCTGCAGGAAGGGGTGGTCCCAGGGCTCTTGGACCTCCAGGAAGATTCCTTCTTCTGCCTCTCTTCTCTTGGTCTCTGCTAATCTGCCTTTCCTTTCCTGTAGACAGGCTCTTCCCACATACAGAGCACCGCCACTTTGGCACCTCTCAGCAAAGGGAGAGCATCTTTTCTTTCATACAGCAGAAAGGTCTCTGCTTGGTCCTGTATAAGTCACATACCCACTCCTTGGATCAAATACTGGGGAAAGGAGAACAACACATTGTGACTGGAAAGGCCTGCATCATAGACATGACCTTTGAGCCAGTGACATGCAGTTCTAGAAAGGTCACAGGGAAACTCATAAGACAATAAAAGATTGTTACCAAGACCTGTTTCACTGAGCTACCCAAAAAGTAATTCTAATGACAATGTAGGGAGCACTGAATTGAAAAGCTCTAGTCTGTGTGATGTGTTCTAGATAACCACTAAAATCTCTCTGGCTAATGTGTCTATGAATGAGCCTCATAGAAATCTTAAGAAAATCGAATAAAGCTGCTGGACAGTGTCAAGGGCTCAGCTGTGATCCTCCAAATTCACATACTGAAGTAGCCCCCACTACCAGAGAATGTGACTGATTTGTAGATTGATGTTTTCAAGAAGAGAATTAAGGTAAAACAAGGCCAATGGGGTGGCATGGTGGCATGGCAGCGTCCTTAGAAAAGAGTAAGAGACACTCATACAGAGGAAGGACCCCACGTGGACTTAGAAGTTGGCCATCTGTGAGCTAAGGAGAGAGGGCTCAGAAGAAACAAAATCTGCTGGTACCACCTTGACCTTGACTTCCAGCCTCCAGAACTGTGAGGAAGTGAATGTCTACTGTGGAAGCTGCTGAGTCTGTTGTTATGGTGGCCCTAGGAAAGTACCCAGACAGTAGACCAAGAATTTCAGAGAGGTGGCTGGGTGAGAACTGGGGGGCAGTCAAGGCATATGTGGTATGTGAGGGGAGGAGCACAAGAGCTTCTTTAAGATTCAGTTTACATTAGAACCTCTCAAGGTTTAGAACCCAGCAACCTATTAACTGATGTGTGCTGACAAAGACATGATCAATCAGTAAGAGGTTAAGACAGGTGAACTCAGAAAAGTCAATGGCAGATGCCACCCTGTGTGAAATTCTGTTGGGACAAAGCCTTGGGAGATTCTACCAAGGTGGCCAGGTCACAGACACAGACTGGGGCTGGGGGAAGCCTGCCACATCACGGCTGAGTACTTGGCTGGGCTCCTGATATGGGTCTCCAGTGATAATTGTGGAGCTTTCAGAATCCTGCCCTGACCTTGGGCTTTGCCAGGCAAATGGTAGAATGTCTGCCTTATCTGATACAAGACTCACCAGCATGAGCTCCTGGCCGCCGCCACTGTGAGATGATATGCACTGGTCAGAGTCTCCTGTCCAAGCCCTCAGGCCTGCCTTGCTTGTGGGCTATGTCCATTGGTCCAAACCGAGGTGGCACTTGTACCTCCTGGTTATAGTGTTCTGGTCCTTACAGTCTTCTACTTACTTAGCCACCTACGAACCCACTGCCCTATCAAACCAAGTATCATCTTGGTAATGCTGCGCTGGCCTTCTTCCTAAACCAGACCTCTGGTCATCAGTCACCCTAGTGGATTTGCCTGCATCCCAGAGCTTGACCCTGCCCAAGCCGTCACTCTGCTGTGTGGGCCTTCACCCTGACCTTTGCTGTTTTGTTCCTCAAACAGCCCTGGCGCCGGATGGTTTTCAGAAACACAGTCATTCACAACCATTCCCCAACCTGTGCGGCAGGGTCACATGAACATTCCACCACAAGCACAATACACATTTGGGAAAAGCACGTCTGCTTCTCAAGAAACAATCAGCACGGTATAGCCACAAGATAAAATCTGCTAGCCAAAGAAAAGAGTTTTGTTAAGTAGGCTGCTAAAGGAAAAGGCTCAGTGCACAATCACACCTATCATACAGCACTTCCCAGTTCACGAGGCTCATAAAATCAGATCATCCCACTGGCAAAAGAGCACTTGTAAGGTGTTAGGAGGAAATCTGGAAATTGTTTCATTATTGACTCTTCCAATGATATTTTTCAACACGAGAATATGTGTCATCCAGATAAAATTTCAGTCCACCTTTATATACAGTCCAAATATATTAATATTTCTACACGACAAATTCCAAGGAAGACAAATTAAATATTTAAATAATCTAAGCATTATAAACCTACAGAAGACTGTCTTTTACCTTCATATTTTTCTTTTTTAAATCACCCACAGACATTAAAAAAAAAAAACCTGATAATGTCAAAGGATGAGAAAGGCTAAACTTGGGGAAATAAAGGAACTATAAATCAGGAAAACTTTGGAGCTGCTAGAAAGACACTTTAATTTTGTAGACAAAAGACTGCATTAAGGAAGAATAATGCAATAATCAAAGGTGAATGGATCTCCATTGTCTGGCAGCTTTCTCTGTGGGAATTTTCCCACCCCTGACAGCTGTAAAGGGAGGAGGGGCACCGAATGTGGCTGTGCCTTTATTCTCTCACCCCTTTTTCTCCTCAACCCCTCCTCTTCTCAGTCAATAAATGTCTGCAATCATATTCTTGAGCTCCTGTGTGATTTCAAGGTTCATCTCTTCCATGCAGCTCAAACACTAATTATCCCAGCTGTAATTAGTAAGATAATTAAATACTGGCTCACTCATCACTCTACCTTGGGTCGGGTCGTGATTCTCCCAGAAGACCTTGAGCAGTTCCTCAAAGCTGATGTGCTCTGGCTGGTACACAACCCTGATGACTTCTGCATGGCCAGTTTTTCCTTGAAAGAAACAGAATGAATGAATAAAATTTACTGGCAATATCAGTTTATTACAAGTTATTCATTCTCAGAAAACCAACATAGGAAAGTGAAACCATCCATCCCCTCTAAGGGAGGCAAAGCATGATTGGGCTTGAGCTCATGGGCTTATGCGCGGTCCCTATGGTGGGTTCTGTTTGTAAAGGCACAGTTACCCTCTAGCGAGCTTCCTGGGAGGATGGATGACTTCTTCATTGTCCATTTGTGTATTTTTAAGTAGGGGCATTAAAAACTTGGACTTTCATTTTTCTAACCTCACTCTTAGGAAATCTCACAGACCCAACCTGACAGAGTGCTCAAGAATGGCAACTCTGCCAAGGGGAACAAGCCTGGTTGTTTTTCCCATCACTCCACACTCTATGGAGTAAGCACAGCTACACCACAGAGCGAGGTGGGGCCAATCTGATTGAGCAGCCTGTAAAGGCAGCCTGGACTCGTTCACATTAGATAAATTAGTTAGTGGAGAGACACGCTTGCTGCGCTGTTAACACTGAGGCAAGGGTTAGATCCAAATACCCAGCGGGGTGGTAAGTGTTTTCTCAGCCTAATTCCTCTTTGTGGTAAATAACAACTGCAGCAAATGTCTCTGCAGAACCCATGTAAACAGGTTCCACAGTTCAAGGAAGTGAGAATTTGCAGTACCATTTGCAACTCTAGAATTCTATTGTAGTCTTAGAACTTAGGAAATAATAGATCCCTCTACCCTAACATCATCTCTACATTTAAATTTACTTTTTATCTCCTTATCACCTTATGTGTAGTAAAGAATTTTGCCTCACCCAAAGAGAAGCCCCTGAGAGACTATACCCAACAGAAATGGGACTCTGCCTTTGGCTACTGGGAGATCGAATCTGGAAGGAATGGGGCTAGCCACACTGGATTTTAGGACAGAACTGGTCATCCGGACAATCTTCATGAGTGGGCTGGCCATGCTGAAAGGTCCTTGTGAACTACGTTTTAGATGATGTGCTGTTAGTTCCCCTGGAGAATAGAGTCAAAACATAAACTCTGGACACCAGAGCTTAGGTGAGATTCTCTGATGAGCATCCCTCCCTGGTATTGTCACATGTAGATGCCAGGATGGTCACTTGTCCTGGGTCCATGAGAGAAGAGAAATACTTGGAACCTCCCTCTGCCTCTCTAGTAGATTGTGAACTATATTTTTTTCTCTGTAGTAAATTATAGCCATGAGTGTTCCAGCTTTTAGTGACCTCTGGTGCTTCTTTCAGCAAATGATCAGTGAGGAATATAGTCTGGGCATACTCTGAACTTGCTCTTTAGTTTACAAAAAATGTTCTCCCCATGTTGTTTTTTTCCCCATTTTTGACCTCAAAACTGTCTGATGCTACATACATAGAAGGTAGACATCTCCTTTTTACAAACCATAAAGCTGAGATGCAAATGTTAAATTTACCTAAGGTCACGCAGCCTGTGAATTTCTTGGCCACAATCTGAAGAGACACCCTCTGACTTCTTGTCCAGGACCCTACTCAATACATCAAAGACAGAGAGTGGAGGTTCGGACAGAGTATTGCTTGCTCGGCTTTGGGAGCTGCCCAGGGACACTTCTGTATGTGTCTGGGTGGGTCACAAAGGCATGGGATTGGGGTCTAAGTCTCGTCCCTGGCTCCTTCCTCTCTGGCACTGTTCCCTCGCTCTGCTTCATCGCTGCTGAGCAGCTTCAGTTCCTCCACATCTTCCTTCCACAATGTTTCTGCTTTGGAGCCAGGTACCCACTCACAGACTGCAACCATGAGCCAATTTGACCTTCCCTCCTTTAAACTGCAGGTGTCAGGTATTCCGGCAAAAGGAAAGCTAACTGATGCAGGGAGCAAGGTGAACAGCAGACACATGAGTACAGAAAAGATATCTATTCATTATCTTTAATCTTTTTAATACACAAATTTCTTTTGGATTCCAGAAACTATTTATGAGTAATATAAAGCTTAGAAAATATGAAGGAAGCATAAAAAGAAAAAATAAAAGTGACCCATATTCCTGTCACATAAGACTATAAATATTTTTATGCACCTCTTTCTGGCTGAATATTAAATGCATATGCTCACGCACTCACACATGTACTCACACACATACACATACACAATTTGTTCAGTTGTAACACAGCAAGATTTCCTTACTTACCAGTATTTTGTGAATACGTCCCCATGCCACTGAATTTTTAGAAAACACCATTTATAATGACTACATAACACTCCATCAGATGGCTGTCCAATTACTTATTCAATCTTCCCTGTCATTGTACATTTAGACTGAATCCTATTTTTAGCCCTGAATGTAAATATGTTTCTATACTTCTGAGGCTGCTTCAAGCCATTGTTGTATAAGTAAAATTTCTAAATCAACGTTTATAAACATTTTTAAGTTTCCTGATTCCTGGTGCCAGACTGCTTCTCAGGCTGCATATCTTCCCCCATTGGCAGCACACAGGGGGCCAGTGCAGCCCACTCACATTAATCTTTAGCAATTTATGGCTGGAAGATGGCATTCTATTGCTTCATTAAAGATGAATTTAATTATTAGTGAAGTAAAATAAATTTCATGCTCATTAGTAAACTTGCTTTTTCTTTCCTCTAATTTTTGTTATGTCCCTTTTATATTGAGTTGTTAATTATTTATTATATTAATTTTTACTAACTGTCAGTCCATATGGTTTCAATTCAAATACAACAGCCATTTAAATCAGTACTTATACAGATTGTATGCTAACAGATATGAAAAGAATGATAGCTCAGGATAAAGGTGCAGCAGAGATAAAAGTCATGTTATGTAAAGCAATTTTGATATGCCTTAAAAGTCTCACTTGGTCATTTGAAATGTTTAAATGACTGATTTGACTACATAAGCATTAAGACTTCCTGAACATTAAAAAGAATTACAATACGTTATGACACATATATTTAGTATAAAAAGCATTAAAATCACACTCAAAATATAAGCAAAACATGTAAGCAGACAATTCACCTATGTATAAAAACATATAAATCAAGATACATAAAATGTTCAACAATAAAACCAAAGAAATTCATATTAAAATACTAACATACCATCTCTTATTTATTACTTTTCATAAAATCGCCTGTTATTGAGGACAGAATGAAACTGGTGACTTCACTTGGTTTGTGATGGGAAATTAGTAAGTCACCTTTGAGAGCCCGTGACACATGTGGCCAGGGCCTGTAAGATGCCCACTTCCCTGGAGAAAGTGATCCAGAAAATTCGTCCCAAAGTTATAATCCCAAAGATACACAAATGCACAAAAAGTCTGTGCTATAGCATGATGAAATATCATGTAACTATTAAATGTCTCATCCTCACCATGCTATATTGACTGAACCCCAGGGACATGGCAGGCCTGTCATCTACTTGATGCTATTTAATGTTCATAGCATTGTGCCAATTTTTTTTCTATTATGATAAAAATCACACAAAACAGAAAATTTACCACATAAAATCTTCATAAATTTTAAGTGTACAATTCAGTGGTGTTAAGTACATTAGATTTTGTGCAACCATCAATATCATCCATTTCCAGAATTCTTCACCTTGCAAAATTGAAATTCTATACCCATTAACCACTAACTCCACATCTTCTTTACTCCTGGCCTCTGGCAACCCCCATTGTATTTTATGTCCCCAAGAATATCTTTATTCTGGGACTTACATGAGTGAATACAGTATTGGTGTTTTTGTGACTGGCTCATTTAACTTGGTGTAATGTCCTAACAGTTCATCCATGTTAGAGCATATGTCAGACTTTCCATCTTTTCTATAGCAAATGTGTGTGCATTGCATTTTATTTGCTCATTCATTCATCTGCGGACACTTCACCTTTTATCTGTTATGAATAATACTGCTATGAACTCGGTAGTACAAATATTGCTTACAACAATTTTTGCTATTAAGATATGGTCCCACTTTCCAGGTGAGGAAATCAAAACCTCCCCCCACAAGATTTCTCAACAACTTTGCAAGATAGTAAGCAGTTGGATCCACTCATAAGACTACAAGTTTCAACCAGAGGTAAAGCTTGGACCTGTTCTAGGATCCCGGGTTAAAGGCTCTGAAATGGAAAAGATTTGCATTGCCAAGAGAGAGCAAATATCACAAGGGCAGTGGCCCAGATGAGAAATCACAACTAGCTGGTAACTGACATCCAAGTTGTCAAAAATATTTTAAAGGAGTAGGCTGTTCTTTTATCACAGCAATATGGAGTCAGGAAAGATTTCCATTCCCCAGCAAACACTTCCAGAAATTATTGCCATAGACATTATTAAAGGCTCCTGGGTGTTTAAGAGAAACTACTATCATTTAAATTCAAGATCTATTTGCATTAACAAACAGTGCAGAGTTGCCCTTGCTAAACTCACCTTTAAGTTTCTTTACTTTGTTTCTCCAAAGTAAAAGAATCTGTGTAAAAATACACAGTGCAAATGATCAAAAGGATTAAGGGACTCAGAACCACTTATGGAAATGCCCACGTTTTGCAGGAACCAGGCAACGTGACAGGCTAATTTCATTCCAGAGGCCAATCCGCAAATACTGTTTTGTGCTTCCAGAGATAAAAGGCCATATCTTAAAAAATATTTTGAGCTGTGTCTTCACATTCCATCGTGCAAATAGCATGATAGATGCAATGCGCAAGCACACTCGTTAACAATTCACAGCAGCTTTAGAGGTGCGTTGGCACTGCTGTTCCAAAATATCTTGAAAGGAAAAATGGAAAGGATGAGTGTTCCTTCTGAGCATCTTGCTCTGCTGCCTGATCCTGCAGGCTCAGAGAAAGTGGAAGGAACACAGAGGGGCCAGCAATGGGCAGCCAATCCTTCTGAGACAAACCGTCCAAGGCTAGGTAACTGGTGTTCTAGGTACAGACTGCCAAGTGCCACCCAGTTGGAGGAAGTGCTTAGAAGCTCAAATTGGGAGCCTGAGCGTTCAGGTAG